TATTAGCACCTCTAGTAATATATTTACTGAGAAAACTGGTGACGTGTTCAATACTTATTTTACCCGCTGTACCATGTAAGTATGAACACAGTACACGCCACATACGTGTGCCTGGTATGTACCAGAAAGTATGTACTCAAGGGGTAACAGTTAAGTAAATACTTGATAAGTACTAGCTATTGATTACTTACATGGTGCAGTCTTACTTTATTCCCAGCATGTACTTGACTGTATCATGTAATGCTTTTAAAAATCTTATAATCCAGAAAGGACACATTCACCTGTTTTGTCTAACAATCCTAAACTTAGATGTAAAAAGCTACTTAGATTAAACTTAAACCAGTTATAAAGTCTGGATCTGGATTAAGATTTGTATTTATATAACAATCAAAAATTACAAATCAAAAATAAAAATCTGACATAAACATAAAAGAGCATTTAATTTTTGAAGTGGTGAAGTTGTTATCAACAATCAATATCTTACCTGCAGACATGATCCCTCGGAGCATTATCAGTTTAAAACATCACGCAGAGGTTTTCTTCCAGGCTCTCAGTGAGTCTCWGTTGAATTGGCCAATGAGCCTCTCAGGTGTAGAGTCAAAAAACATCCACCTGTGTAAAGGGTATTCGCAAGGATTGCAGGTTTTGTACAACAAGAAAGGATTTGTCAGCTAGTTACATAATTATAGAATAGAATAATTAAAAGTTAAATATTGTAGCTTCAATCTGAGTCATCCAGTTTGAACAGTAAACAGTGTCCTGCATGACAAACAAAGTGTTGAAAAGCTGAAAAAATAAAAATGTCTCTTTTAAAAGCAAAAGTGTACAAAAAAAAAAAAAAAAAAACATACCGCACCCCGAATTTCTGAACCAAAATGTATTTCATGCATGTATTCATAAATGTATTTTTAAAATATCATTCAGATGTGCTGTACTGGGACCCCATCTCCACTGTGAGGAAACTACTAAATTATTTCTTTGCACAATACCAACTCAGGTTTGACGAGCAGAACAGACAGATGGACCCTGGGTTCCCCAGATTCATCCAGACAGACTGGCCCGGAATCCCCAGAAGAGTGGACGCTGCCTTTAAATTGCACGGTAAGAAACAGAGAAAAAGGCAAACTCATGAACTTTGCACGAAGTGAACCCGATGATTACAATTAGAACACAAACAGAAATAGAAGTTGTAATTTCTTATTTTAACTATATTTAGGTGGTAGATGGGTGGAGTTTACCACAAGAACTCCAGTTTTAGAAAACATGTCGCAGCTAAACTCAGTGATCCCCGGTTCATCTGGGAGCTATTTTACATTTATTTTGCATGAACACATAGATCGTATCTTTAAAGCTTTATGTTTAATCCCAGAATTTTAATGAGTTTTGTTTTGTTTACAGGCAGCATCTTCCTCCTCACTGGTGCAAAATCCTTCCAGTTTGACTTCAAACAGAAGCGGGTGCTCAACATAATTGCAGGAAATTCTTGGCTTGGATGCTGACTCACTGAAAAAAACATCTTTTATATCAATGAAAAGTTCAAATCAGCTGCATGTGTGGCTAATTTACTGAAATGAAATTATTAGAATTACACGGATGCAGCACCACGTGTTTTACATAAACTCATATTAGGTTCATTTTTTTTATATTATGGACTTTATCTACAATTCCAGTTTGGCTTGTAAAAGTGTTGGCACATTTAAATACCAGTTTGAGCTTGTCTTTCATGTGGAATCACAGAAACTAACCCAAAATGCACTAGTAACCAGGCCTGTGTGTGGTGCTGTTATGCTTTGATTATTCACCACAAACAGGAAACAAGACGTGGAGCATGTGAATAAATAGGCATGAAATGTAAATATAAAAAGTGCAGTCAAGATATTTCATTGTGGATTGTTCCTAAGGAATACATAAAAATTGAATTAGTTAATGTGCATTTCTGTTAAACTGAATTGTTTTATGAACATTATACCGCTTAATAACCTAAAAACTATTTGTTCATAAATCTAATTGTTGCTGCTTTGTGACATTAACTCATATTTACACCTCGGAATAGATTAAAACAAGTTTTCAGGGTAAATTATAAAAAATATATATAAATAAAAAGCATTGCTCTTACAGAAACATGTTTCTCTGTTCTCAATAAGTCTTAATGTACAGAAGCCTGGAGAGGACATGCTCAGAAATGTATTTTCATGACATTGTGGGGTAACAAGTTTTTTTTCAATTTTTTTRGCAACAAAAATGTATTATTTTTTCTTGTCATTACTAGAAATAATTTCAAAAATCAGGATTAGAAATCTGTACAGCGCTGCTGATTCAGGCTGAAAATGTCACATAACACAACGTCTGTTGTTCATAATGTCAACAACAGGACGTCTGTTGGTTAAATTGTTATTTAAAGCACTGTGGTTCATTTAATTACAAGAGATATTAATGCTATTGATCTGTGTTTGTCTATTAATTTAGGCGTATGCAATGACTTGTAAATGCTTGTGCTCAGCAATGTTMTTAGAGTGAAGACAGAGCTGTTGATCCTTAACTTCCTAAACGGTTAACTTAGATTATAGAGTACTTAACTGACCGCTATAGACAGGTGGTCCTGGATGGAGGAAATGGAGGTAATGCCACAGGGAGAYCAGGAGGACACTCAGCTTCTTTGTGGAAGACCCTTTAAAAAAGCTTGTTGTACAGAGRTTTGTTGTACAGAGTGTATTTGGACTCCTTGTTGCAAATAAAACAGAGCTCGGTAACCAGATCTGCTGCTTGTTCATATTTCCTTGGGTCAAGTGTCTTGATGATTAATGTATCCAACATTGTATTTTTCTGTTCTTAAAGACATTTCACTTCTTATCTAAAATGCCAGAGAGTTGGGAGCTTCAGGCATACAGGTTGAYCTGGAACCTGAAGTCCCCTCCTTGATTTAATGTGGCCTCAGSTTCTATTTTTCTAAGCCCTACAGGCCTTCTTTTCAGTTTCATATTAACTGAAACCTTGCAACGTGATAATTTTCTTTAAGTGTCACAACAGTACATTTTATAAAAAAAGAAACTATGAGGAACCAGAAAAGTATTAAAATTGTCAACTCATTAAAGCATGTCCTCTCTCATTTTTGACATAATGCTCTGTCAGACAGTTAATATCTTATTAGTCATGGAGTATAGAAAAAAAGGCTATAGCTAACCTGTTTTTCTTTTTATATATTATTTCCAGCTCATGAAACAGCTCTTTTTCAAAAATGATACTCTAGTGCAGTGGTTCCCAAACTTTTTATCTTCTGACCCAGAAAATATTCATGGCAAAAACTTGTGACCCCAAATATTACTGGTCTGAGTACACAAACTTTATTAATAACCCTAAAACAAAGGCTACACAAATATAAATACTTATTTAAACTTATTTTGTGTTTTTGTTATAATTATAGGGAAAATATTACATCACCAATTATTTTATTACCCTTTAAATTGATACCTGAAGTGCAGTGGTTCCCAAACTTTTCAGCTTTTGACCCACAAAATAACAGTAGCCGAGACATGTGCCCACAACTGTTTTTGGATGATAAACATTTGTATCAGGTCAAACATGGGCAAAGTAACAATATTATTCTACGTYTATACATTTTAAGCAACTAAGGCAAAAATGTAAATAATTTAGAAAATCTTTTCAGGACCCCACCTTGATTTTTCAGGACCGCACTTTGGGTCCCGACCCCAACTTTGGGAATCACTGCTCTAGTGTGCAAGAATACTAATTATTCATTGTGAATAAACTGTAATTATTCAACAAAAGCAAATCTAAGTGATACCAGATCAAATCTGTATGTAAATTTCACATCCCCAAATTCTGATTTGTGATCTTTTTGCCAAAAGAGTGGATCTCAGATGCACAAAAATGCAAATGAAATTGAATAATTGGGGTCGGAATGATAAACTCAGGTAAAATATACATTTTTCATCTTCTGTTGTGACCTTTGACCCCTGATGACATC